AGTGCCATTTTACTCGATAAAGTAGATTGGAGGATTTGTCCAACTTTGAAAATCTTTGTTGAGTGGCATTTAGCTCGACAAATTCGGTTGGAGGTTTGTCTAACTTTGAGAATCTATGCTGGACAGATTTTGCTCGATGGAAGAACAAAGCTGAAAAAGCAGACAAGTGACTAAGCAATGCTTGCAAAAAGTTATGTTCCATTCACGCACATCGAGGTCACAATAGAAAGGGCCATCATTTCATTACCAAAAAAAAGTATAAAAGTGGAGTCATAAAAGAGAGTCTAATTCTTCATTAGTAACATTTTCTTCACTAGTCGCAACATTTCCTTTGTCACTGGGCTAGTTTTGTGCGGCATCTTCTTTACCTTCCTCATCCTCCTTTGAGGCCAGAGCTTTGAAGATCTCATTAGCATAAGCTTCCATGTAGTCTGACAAGAAATGGGCGGTGGTGTGGTGAATATCTCGATATCACGGTCATGTCCCAGTTTTTCACGCACTGCTTTCCAGCCGGACTGGAAGAATACATTTTTGGTGGCATCAATTTTCTTACAATAGCTTTCCTCAGCCTCGTTGAAACCCTTGTCTTTTGCATCTTTCTCCGCGACAGTCTTTTCTTTTTTCAACTTCTCTAACTCAGCCAACGCAGTGCTCCTTATTTTCTTAACGTTGGCCACTTGGCTGAGGAGCTTTGTATTGTCAGCATTGGCCATCTCCAAGAAGGACTACGAATGCTCTAGCTCGATTTCAAGCTATTTTATGAGCTCGGTGTTGTCGTGCACTTTTTGTTTCAGTTTTAGCAGATGTTCCATAGCGACATGGGATTTTTGAATGGCCTACAAGAAAAGCAAGAGTTAGTGAATGAAGCCAAATAGCAAATTGAAAATATGATCAATTGAGGAATTACCCTTATCATGAACTTCATTGCGGATTTGATGACCCGAGTATCCTGACGTGGTTGTATTTCTGCATGTCAGCAGGTGGAGTAAAGCCTTTGAAAAATTTTAGTTGAGCAAATGCTTTCTGTCCTTGGCAATAGAATTCGAGTTCGGATCCTCTCCTTGAGGAAGGTCCTTGAGTTACTGCGGGCAACGGCTCAGATGAGCCGTTGGTCATCCAACGGCTGATATTATAAAAAAAAAAAATCAAAAATGTTGTGTTTTCGACTTCCCGCCCAAACAAACAACAACACAGCTCAGATGAGGGATTCACTTTCACTCTCACACACCACTCTCACTCTCACGCAGCACTCGCCTCCGTCGAACCTATCCTCATCCTCACCGGCGACGGCGAACTCCATCCTCACCGACGGCGAACTCCACTGCTCCAGCCTCTACGCTTCGTGAACTCACCGTCGGTTGAGCAAAGATCTCTTCTTCACGAACCAGGTTGGTCTTCGAACAGAGATCTTTTGTCTTCCGACGTCTGAGATTGAGATTGAGATTGGGGTTTGGAATTGATATGGACAAGTTAGAGTGAAAGTGAATCCCTCATCTGCTGGTTCCATATTTTCAGAATTAGGGATTTTATAATTTCAAAATTAGGGCTTTTTAAAAAAATTAGGGATTTGGGTTTTGAAAAATTAGGAATTTTGGTTTTTGAAAAATTAGGGATTAGGGCTTTTAGAAAAATTAGGAATTTCAGAAGTAGGGATTTCAGAATTAGGAGTTAGGGATTCGAATTTCTATTTGAACGGCTAAAAATTTAGGGCTTTTAACGTCCGAATTTTTTTTCAATTTGAGGATGATTTGGTAATATTTTTTGGAGATGATGAGGGTAAAGATGAACCCACAGTTCTGATGTTATGTAATATGAATGTAACCAACCCACAGTTCTGAAATATGAATCTGATTCTTTGTTGTTGTTGAAAATTTAGTTGTTCTGAGTTTGAATTTAAAGGTCTTTCCTTGCAATTACTGTGTAGGACTAATGCGATTTGCTGTTTCTTTTGTGATCTAGAGAATTTTCTGACCCATACATTTTTACAAATGCATACCTACAAAGTAGGCAGAAAGCAGGGGAAAAAAAAAAAAAAGGGAAAATTGTAAGAAACTAGTAGAAGACAACTTTATTTCAAAAATCAGCTCAAAATCTGATGGAGTTTACTATATTTCAAAATAATGTATCATCCAACTAGTACTGATAAAATAAGAACATTTTATCTGTGTTACATAGACTCATTTGTGTATCCAAGCCTCAAATTTCATCTAATTCTCATGTCCAAGATAACACAGCTGGAGTTCATATTTCTTAAATACTTCTTTTACTTTCTCAATGGTAAATTCACATTTACAAACTAAAATTAAGCATTTTATGTATTAAATGCACGGTTAAATAGTAATCAAGAGTACTGGCACATACTTGTTGAGTGCTTGTCCAACTAGGCATAACTCATATCTCACACTTAAAAGTTGAGTATCCAACATGTTCACAAATTTTAAAGTCCATGTTACCAAGATTGTAATGTACTGGAACAATGGGATTGGACAAATATTAGTAATAGTAGGTATATGAGTCCAGTCCCTCCATTACTGGAATAGGAGAATTTCCTACAAAATAGTTGGGATTAACTAGATACCTGTGGTATATGTGGTATACAAAGTGTAAAACTCTGTTGAAACTCACTGTTGGTGGCATTTTATTTAGGACCTCTTTTACTTCCCTCACTATAGCTATGCTTATTAGAGATGATTAGGGTAAAGATGTGAGATATATGTTGGACAATTGCATCTGTTAATAACCATGTTTGCATCTGTAACAATGTCTTCAAGTTATTCCTATGGGACATATTATTAGAACCAACTTCCATTAGCACCAACTCCCATTAGCCTTCTCCTCATGTATGCAGATTTAAAAAATGGCTTCTTCTTCTAACATTAGCGACATGAGATTAGTACTGAGGCTGTGCAATTGTGGAAGAACAGCTGCTATACATATTGTAAGAACCAACGAGAACGGAAATGAAGGGCGTTTGTACTTTGTTTGCCCATCGAAATATGTAAGTTGGTAATTCTAGCTATTTTCTTCCTTTATTAGACACATTAATACTTGTCTTATTGAACTAATGTATTCGCATGCATTGCAGAGTAACCCTCCCACTCATCATTGCAATTACTTCAAGTTCGTGTCTGAAGATGATGAAGACGTTACATCCAGAATCCGTTCCAACAGTACAGCTGCTGCTGGTATAACAATAGAAGACTTGAACGATGTAAGGATGAGGCTTCATGACATGGAAAATGACTATGGTCGAAGGCTGCAAACGATGGAAAATAATATGAAAAAGATGGTGTACTTCAGTGTATTTTGTATCATTTTCTACTTTATGATGTAACTTTTTCACTTTATTGTATTTTTGGGGAACTTAATGGAAGTTTGTATGTTTTTGGATTTTATGTACTCCGACTTGTTATCTATTATCTGTTATGGAATGAATTTTGGGGAACATTAAACTTCTTATTTGTTATGGAATGAATGATGGAATTTTGGAATGTTGGAATGAATGATGGAATGTTATGTTATGTAACTATAATACATGATAACCAACAGATTCTGTGATGATGAATGATGGAATGTTATGGAATGTTATGTTGCACAGGCAGATTATGATGGAATTTTGGAATGAATGATGGAATGTTATGTTATGTAACTATAATACATGATAACCAGGAGATTTTGTGATGATGAATGATGGAATGTTATGGAATGTTATGTTGCACAGGCAGATTCTGTTCTTGTTGCACAGGCAGATTATGATTTATGTGGACAGATCAGGATACCCTTCTCCTCCTTGAAGCATTGGATTGTGATGTTGCTGAGCATGTTGCTACAAAAACCAAACCTCAATCTAAAGGATGCTTTTATGGACTGTGATCATGAAAAGGATGCTACTGTCAAATTAATTGCAGATCCAGTTTCAACACCATGGCAGCAAATGAACAAATATATAGGCTATTGATTGGAGAACTTTTGACAGGAATGCATGAAGATTAAGCTATGTCAAATGATATATAGGCTAAGAATGTGAGGAAGGAAAGTGATATTGAGTTAGTGGCAAAACCAAAGAAGGCCAAGTCAAATGATGGAGTACACTTAACCACCAATTTGATTGAAAATGCAGACAAAGTATCTCCTGAAGTTAATGAGCAAATAAAAGAAGTAACAGCTCTGAAAAGAAGTAACATTGATGAGGTTGGCAGATGCCTTGCCAATGCATCATCAAGTGGGTGTATATCAGTCAAGAAATGCCGGTTGGAAGAACAAGTTGGTGTACACCCATAGCTTGGTTGACTGATACGATTGCTGCTGTTAGAATTGGTGAATTGAGAAACAACAGAGGAAGAAGAACTCAGCGAAAACTGTCAGGTCCGTTAAATGGAAGCTGCAACCTTCATAAATCAATCAATCAATTTGTTGGGAAGGAGACTAATGGAACATCTCTTGGAAAATCAAACAAATCAAAGACCAATGCTGTGAGTCCTTCCATGGATCTAGGCGTGAAAAGGAAAACAAAAAGGAGACAGAGTGATGCAGATACCATGTCAGCTGGTGAACATGCTGGAGGAAATGCCAGATTAGAAGTGTCACCAGGAGACAGATGCAAACCATCTGGTCCAGCATCGACTACTCCTGTTAATTGTACCACTCCTATAAATGCTGCATCACCTATTTGTATGGGTGCAGATTATCTCAAACAGTCATGCAGGAAGAATTTGTCAAAATCATTCCTTATTAAAGACAGTAAGCTACCTGCATTTTTCTATCTGGGCATGCCAGTAAGCTACCTGCATTTTTCTCTTAGTTAGCATATCAACCCTACTGACTTAAACTTTCTTCTTTCTATTTCAATGCACTTTCCATTTGATTTGTAACAACTTCAACACAGAACATGAACACAGAACCAGTTCAATAACATGTTCAACACAGAACATGAACATGAACATGAACATCAACCAACCAACACATATTTTAAAAAAGGATATTAACAATAACAGAATCAGTTCACTTGGGTTTAACATATAAATTAAAATCAACTGTAACTGAACATCAACCAGTACAACTTTAACATCTAAATTAATACATTGGTCCTTAAAAATTGACACATTGGTACTTTAACATCACTTTGTAGCAACAGTTTGCTTCACAATTTAAGAGGCCATGTCTTCACGTTGCAGCCCAATTTCAGCATCAGTTTGGTTCTGTTGATGGTTGTCCATAGCCTAAAAAAGAAAGACAATTTTTAAGCAACTATAAATACATGATATCACAGAATTTTCAGCCACTATAAACTATAAATACATCAAGAACGCACCTCAGTACACATTGGAGTAGTTGATTCTTGAGAATATCGAAACCCAATGTCATATCCACATGAACCTTGTAGTAGTGATTGGAATGTTGGTTGAGTTGGCAAATAATTTGGCACCACATACATCTCCCGCAAATTGTTCGCCTACAAGAATGTCATATATGCTTTCAGTTATGGTTTTAGTCACATATTATATCCACACAAAAAATACAATGTTAAAGTAAGACTTACATGATATGTGGGATACACCAATGGCGGAGGAATGTAATTACCACCCATGGGCAAAGATCGAGGAAGAGGATGAAGGGGAGGAAGAGGTTGAAGCGGAGGAACATGTTCACGAACATATATATCTCCTCCAACAGATAATGGAGAAGGTGCAACCGTTGAACTTGCAATAGATTGTGACGAAGCCAAGCTATTAGCACGGGATTTTTTTTTGGAGTTCGCTACCAACGCCGCTTCGAATCCACCTTTGACCCTCCTTTTGCCCTTACTAGTTGCCACATTTTTCTTCAATCCTTTTGGTTGCACAACATGATTCACATCTTCGCATTCCACTTCAAAGCTTTGGGTATCATTATCATTACATACTTCATTTCCAATACCAAAATGAGCACTTAACTTGCCTTCAACATCTGCACCTAATGTAGCAAGGTGTGCAATACAAAAATCATATGTTTCTTCAGTTTCAGCAGCTCTACTTGCTACTGCTCTAAATGCAGTCATCAATGTCTTATACCGCGAAGCTTGTTGGAATTTCACATCTACTTCAATGTCATTTTCCTTAATGTGCTGCACAGTTTCAGCTCTTGCTTGTTTGGTCCACCTCTTCAGAATGTATTGTGGAGGAACCTCTTTCATCTTCAATATGTCTCTAATGACCTTCAATGAGTGAGAACACAAGATTCCTTCCCTTTCAAACTTTGTACAATTACAACCCAAAGAGCCATCCCTCTCCATCTTCACTTTCCTTGCATGTTTGTTACCAACATCAACAACTGTGTAAATGGTACTAGCCTCGCCATATTCAATTGCTTCTATGTCTGATTCAATGGATTGAAAGTACTCATTTTGAAATTCCTCAAAGATCTTTTTTGTGTAGACATTACCCATTTGAATTAACATTCTTATTGTTGCTTTCACCTTTGGCAACCTTTGGCACAAAGCATAGCCCGCTTCTAACTCCTTGTATCGCTTCTCGTAAAGTACCCTTTCGAAATGCATGAAGAATTCATTCAAGTTAAAATCACAACGAATGTAATCTTTCAAAAAAGCATTAAAAGATTCACTAAGTTGTGTGGTACTCATTCCCGCAGCCCATGTTGATCTAACATAAGGCCATCCCCATTTTTCTTTCACCGCAAAAGTCAATTTCAACCAATGGTTTTCATGCGCATCATATTTATCAAGCATTTCCGCCCACTCTAATTTCCATTGATTTGCATCTTCAATGTGAAAGAAGAATTTATTTAGTACACCCTTCACCCCCTTATCTTGGAACAAACAGTTAACATGTTTTAATGCATTTTGCATCAAATGCCAAGTACACAATCGGTGACTTGTGTCAGGCATAACGATGGGTATGGCTTTAGCCATTGCAGCATCTTGATCGGTGAACAAAGTTTTCAGTGCCTTCCTTGACATAGCCT